CCGTCCTCCCTCTCCGCTCAGGTGGTCTCTGTGTTTTCTTTCCAGGGAGCTACTTTGCCAACCACTTCATCATGGGCGGCGAGAAGTTCGACTCCACGCACCCCGAGGGTTACCTCTTCGGCGAGAACAGCGACCTCAACTTCCTGGGGAACCGGCCCGTGGTGGTGGGCACCGGCGCGGGGCTGGGGGGGGTACGGGGCCCCGGCGTGCCCCCTCCCAGAACGGTGGTGACTGCGTGTGTTGTGGGGGTGGGTGGTATAAGGCTGCTGGCTGTCACCCCCTGAGGGCAGAGCCAGCCAAGAGTACCTGGGGTGCCCTGAGTGGATTCTCTGATGTCTAATATAGGGGTTGGCGACTCGCTGCAGCCTGTCCTCCCTCGGGGACTAATCCAGTTCCCCTCTCAGCCTGTGTGCCCATGTCCACGTGCTCCACAGCAACACGACATTACTGCCCGCTTGCCTTGCTGCCCAGCTTGAGCTGTGAGCGGCAAATGGGTTTGCAGGTGGCTGGGAAGGGATGGGGCAGCTGCGTGACCCCCGCCTTTGGGTGCCACTCTCTGCAGGACCCGTGTTGCGGGTCACTGGACAGAAGGAAACGGAAGTATTCCCCAAGCTCTAGCAAAAAAGGGGAAGAAAAAAAAGAAAAAAGAGGTTGATGGGGGCTGACAACTGCTGGTTCTGGCTGGTGCTGGGGCAGGAGGAAACACGGCTGCAGGGGAGGTCCCCAGGCCCCACGATCCTGGTGGTGTTTTTTCTGCTCGCTGCCTTTTGAAGGGGAGGAAATGAGAGTGAGGCCGTCCCCACAGAGGGTTTCAGCAGTGGGGGTGACGTCCCCCACTCCTCCAGGTACACCTCAGCAGCACGGCTCACCAGCATCTGCCTGGGCAGCGGAGCGGTCAAGCATTAAAAAAAAATTCAAGGTGAAGAATTAAAAGGCACCAAAGCTTTTGTATTGAGCCCAGATGAATTTTCCTAGTGCTAATGGTCCAGCTCTCGAATGCTGCCTGCTCCGGGCTGGGCTGGCGAGGCTGCTGCCAGCCCAGTTTGTGTTTCCTCCTTGAAATGGGTTTTGGCAGCATTGGACAGTCCTTCAGCGGGGAAGTGCTTGGCCCCGGGGCTGTGCCAGAGCGGGGATCCCAGCAGAGCCAAGGGCAGGAGCACCCCCTAAAACCCCTGAGTGTTGGGTGGGTGAAGCCAGTGCCTTTCCCTCCATCCTCCGCACTTCCCCGGAAAATGAAAAGTCAGCGCTTGGGTTCTCTTGCCAGCAGCGAGTGCTGAGAAATCCTCTTGATTACAGTAAAAGCCTCTAAACTCCTCAGCGAGCAGTTCCCGAGTCAGACGTCCCGACAGCCAAAGCAGCAGGGAAGGTAGAGGAACAGCTTGGAAACAGCAGAAAGAATTAATATAGCGTTGTGAACTAAATTGCATTGCTCCGGGTGAATTACTGACAGCCCTGGGCTGCAGAGCTGTGACCCAGGTCCTGTCTCCCCAGGGAGCAAGGGGGGGCTTTGGGCTGGGCTTTTGGGTCAGGCCAGTTTGGGGGGTCAGGAAGGACCCGTGTTGTTTCTGGTCCAAGCCTGTGTCCAGGTATCCCTTGGGCATCTCTGATGCTGCCTCTGAGACCTGTCCTGATGCTTCTTGGCTGCGATGCTTTTGCCTTCTGGCTTGCTGTGAGAGCCCTGGCTGGGCTGGAAATGGCCAAGATGGCCGGTGCTTTTTGGTCAGGGATTTATTTCAGGTTTCTTGGGTATCGAGGGACAGGAGGTCTTGAAAAAAATGTGTCCTAGGTCCTCTCTGAGCCGCACGCCTCGGCTGAGCTATGAGCAGCGGGGCTGCCGCAGGGATGTGCAGAGCCCCCCGAGGCTGCTCCATGGATACAGGATAATCTGGATTTTCCAGCTCAGGACAGGTTCCCAAAGGGCTGGGAAGGGATTTGCTGGTTTAAGGAGCTGCCACCATGCTGGGACACCTCTGCAGGGGCTGAGGAGCGGAGACGCTGCTTGTGGCACCCAGAGAGCATGGGGCATTGGGGCGAAGCCAGGGACTGCCAAAACGTGCCGCTGGGTTTCCCTGCCCACGCAAACCTGCCTGGGTCTGCTTGTAGAAAAACCCCAAGAAAGATTTTTTTTTTTTTTTTTTTTTTGGTGCTTTAACAGAAGCCACCCTGGACCAAATGTCGCTACAGATGCACGGACAGGGTTTTTAAATGGGTAACAGCTGCAGTGAGGTCTTTTTCCTGTTGTTTTTCAGCTTGATTTAAATTGAGGAGATGCAAAAAGTCCTTTCACCAGCCCCTTTTCTGAGGTGCAAATCTGGTTTGCAAAATTTAATTCAAAAAAAACCCAAACCCCAACTCCCCCAAAAAAGAGCCCAGATGTGGGTGTGAAATAACCTAACGGTGACGGCAAAGCTGTTTCTGCAGCAAGAAATTTGCCTGCGGCGCTTCCCCATCCTGCCCAGCCCAGCGTCCCCCATGGGGCTGTGCCCCGGGGACCCCGCTGCCTGCCAGCCCCTCCATCGCCCACCCCTGTCACCCATGGGTGCTCTCCCTGCCAGGGCGAGCTCTGCCACTTACAGGGGGCTGGTTTGGGTTTGGCTCGGCTAGACAAGGTGCAGATGAGCCAGATTGGATTGCTTCAGTGATTTGCATAGCAGAGGATGTATTGCAACATGGCATGGCATGTCGTGATATGGCTCAGCTCCACCTCATGGGTCTTTTCTCACTTTCCAGCTGCCACAGGTGATTCTGCAGGTGCCCGTTTAGTGCTCATGGCTCATTAAAAAGCTCATTAAGAGCAGATTAATGACTCAGCTGCCCTTTTCCCCTCCCGCAGGGGAGGGCGAGGGTGGCCATGCCAAGGTGCTGTGCATTCATCGTCTAAGGGCACCGTGCCATCCCTGTCCATGCCACCAGCGGGACCGGAGCTGCGGGATGGTGGGACACGGGGGGGGGATGGCTGGCTGGGAGGGGGAGG